CCATTTGACGGTCATATCATGTTTGCTCCACCAGCCCGGGCAAACTCTTTTTAATTGAATATTAGAATCTTCTTTATATATTTTCTTTGTTGTGACTTCTCTCACAGACTAAGAACAATCAATGAAATTTACCAAATCCAGAACGTTTATTGCAATGTAAATCCAGGAGTTTACCAGATTATCTGTGATGTAAGCTTAAACGCCCTGGATACCACATGACTCACAACACGCACAGTATACTAGTAGCATCCACAATTTATGCGTGCAGAATGTAACCAAGAAAAAGTTCTCGCTGGACACCATTTTGTTTAGTTGCAATCACCACGTGTTTCCACGACCTAAGAATGCGTGAAATTAAAATTATATACCGGTATATATAATATTTGTGTATATACATATTTTTTAAAAAAATGCGGAAAAGAACATTACATTTCTATGGATATACATGTATATACACATATTTTAGTGTCGAAGAGGAAATATATCCTAAACGAATGAATGAATGAAAAAACAAAAAACACTGCAAAATGTTTACAGAGTGGTAAAACGTACTACCAATTTGGCAATGCATTATATATTTAATTATTTTACCCTGTCGTGTTCAGATTGCTAACGGGTGATTTCAAATCTCTCCAGTTTGTTTTACAATATTCGGTTAAATGTTAAGAGTATCTAATACAAAGGAGACGTCTTCTGTAAAATTAGGAATAGAAACATTGACTCATTTATTTCATTGCATTGTCTTCTGTAAAATTAGGAATAAAAACATTGACTCATTTATTCCATTGCATTTTGAAATAATACGAAATTGAAAACTATCTCAGTCTATCGAATTTTTTCTTAGTGGCTATATTTCAATATTCTCCCAACTTATGTTTGTTGAGTGTTACAGGATATTACCAGTGCTTTCTCGGTGCAAATACAAAAATGCTTAACATCGAATTTAAAATTCGGATTTTTCAAAACAGTGTATTTTCATGCAGTTTAAAGTAGATCGATGTGAGATTAAGCAGTTAATATGTGATATATTCTATTTCGGTATACGAAGAGGATTTGTTATTGTTCGGGGATTTGGTATAGTTGCAGGTGGTTTTCTCGTCCACCCCGCGTCCGTAGAAGCGTTCGTCGTGTCTAGTCAAGTCCTTCCATCGCATCTCAGTTTTCGCACGCATTACGTCATCATTCAGACCATCTCCAGTAAAGACCGCCAACGCGTATAATTGGCTCATCGATTAGCATTTGTTGTAATCAATCATACACGTTAATGGTTTTGTCTCGAATACACCGACACCATATTGACTCTAGTACCGGGTATTTTTGATCGGATCGTTATACTACACGTTTTGCGGCAACATCTGCACATGTCTCGGTGTTTATCTGGTTATCTCTTATATCGCAGCATGATTCTTGACGTAGTAGTTGCAATATGAAATTAATTACTCCTATTATGGTATAGGGGCGAAGCTTAGTTTTGTCACTGTGTAGTTGTACTATAAAGGTTTCCGTTGAATGCGTAAACACGATTAGGCGCAAAGCGATTTCAACTGCTTGTGAGTTTCTGTACTATATTGTTTGCACGATGAATGTTTTAAAACAGTTTATGGAAATAAAAATCGTTAAATCTTGTTTCTTTCCCACAAGATCTACGTTTTTCTGATAACATATAGTACTTGAAATAAAACAAAGGCTACGGTAGTCATAGTAAATAGCGGTTCAGTTGTTAGAATTGGCCCTAACAAGATTCCCATGCTAGGTCTGTGACAATAACGACGTGTCGGAATCACGCCACGCCAGCTCAGAGCATGACATTGATGCCTCCCTGATGCATTTCGAGCAACTGTTCCCGGGGATTTGGGGAAAGAAATTCACATTCAGTACGACGTAATTGTTTGCAATTTTCCTGAACGCATTTGAACTTCGCAGAGTCAGAATCAATAAATATTATCACTTAGACGCAGTGCCAAAGACAGTTCGGGGTTCAAACAGAGCAGATATTCGACAACAACGAAATAAATAGAAATAAAATAAGATTAAACAAGTAGATGTTGTCAGTTATGATAAGATGAAATCGTAATATGTGTTGAAAGCAATGGAACATTTCCGGACAAAAGGGCGCAGTTGTTCATGTAAAAATAAACAAAACAAAACAAACAAAAACGAAAACAACAACAAAAACACACCATAATAAAACTATAGAATTAAATTTTTTGAATAGACCATGAACTCACAAGAACATTCTGCAACTCTAATAACTATCATTACCTAGAATTAACTATTAGCAACATACAAAACGATAGCTACCAATAACTATCAGCAACTAACCTCCGACAACAACAGTATCCAGAAATTACTAAAAGGTATGAAATATGGCAGTAAAATACCAGATTCGACACGTTCTATAGCAGGGATCGGTATTATACTACCACTCGTGTAATTCAGTTCAATAGAATTGTGTTACATACATATACACAGATTACTTTAAGTCAACTTTTTTATTTATTTGGAGTGACTTTTAATAAATTATTACGAGTGTGACGGGACATAGCCAGAATCGGCTGACTGGGCAACATACCGTTTTGTTTTTTATCGTGCCATAATATGATAGAATATAGCTTATACTGTGTGGAAAACAACTAGTAATCGGTATAAAACTCATCGACGTCACATTTTGAATAAATCTAAACTCAGCTATTAATGCGTTAATTATAAAAAAAGTACAAAAATCATGAAACGTACGAAATTGTGGATTTTCAACAACTATGGAAACACCGCGATAGTATTGCGGCTGCGGCCGATTTAGCGTGGCTGTACGGCAACTTGTTGGTTTACCGTGAAATCCCTTATAGTTTTAGCATGTATTCTGTCATGTAAGGTCGGAGCGACGATCCATCAAAATGAAAGTACTATTTTACAATGGGTGATTAGACACAATGTTAAATATTTTGACATTTTGTGTACTTTACTAACGTGTACTTAAAGCAATACACTCGCTCGATCCATTCCCGGAGCGTAAATCTACTCCCAGGGGACCCTTCATCGCCAGTCCGTCTACCCCCGCAATTTTAACGGAACAAAGATATCGCGTTCTACGCTTGTGTTAAATATACGTATATATGTAATTCCAGTGTTTTAAGGTTTTCTGTTTTCAAATATATATATAGTTTTTTAATTGAGTGATTGGGCATCCCCCGGTGTGTATCGCGGTACCTGATGGGCAACCTAAACATCGCGAATACTCGGAATAAGTCTTGCAGGAATCTATTAAATTCACGTTTTGGAAAATCTGGGAAACACTGTTATTTGTTTTCTCTTAGTAGATACCCGGGCATGAGTGCACATCGCACTGCTACACTGGTTCTACGACACAAGAAGAACGCGGGCGAGAGAGGTTAACCGCATGTTACAAAAATGTTCAGCAAAGGTTTAGTCGGCAATTTTTTTGGCATTTACGAATCACTCACAATTTGTATCACTCCGTTCTAAATTATGACAGAATTTATATCTATTGATTATTGATATATTGGCAAAAATATAGTAATTCGTGAAGCAAATTTAACTAAATAAACCATAAATTCGGCCATTTTGAAATTGCGATTTTTTTTTTCAATTTTTTTGATATACTATTGAAATTTGTACAACTGATCGTAAGTACTTCTCCTGTTCGTATTGCGCGACTATGTAATATATACATCGAGCGGAAACAAACGTATTTAAGGATGGTTTTCGATTTCACCTTATCCGAACATCTTGATTTAATTGATAGGCCACGATGGGTAGAACCCAGCCGTCGCTCTGTAACTAAAACAACGAAACACTGCGGTTACATGCACATTGACACCGGCGAAGCAAACACATCGCCGCGTGGAAGACCCAGTGAACGTGCCCATGAAACACGATACCCACACCAGTGTATTGCCGAGTGCGCAAGTTTTAGGTGGTGTGCAGAACCAGGGCGATCTTTTCATTTTTCTAAAACAGACAGCACATAACCGAACAACGCACACACAACAAAGTAAAATACAAATTAAAAAAAAAAAACACTCACACAATCCCAACAAGTTAAATTTCAGTTGTTCATTCCACTCATTTCTACTATGTATTTTGATTATTTGTTGATTACACATGATTTGAAAATTTTCGGAGCATTGGCGTAGACTGGCGATCGGTTGCAAAACAACAACATTAGTTAATTACTAGCTCATGAGTGCGTTGTCCGATGTTAGACACTAGAGCGATATGCCGGCAACCGACTTTTCGGGTCGTGGGGGCAAATTAAGCTATCAAGAAACAAACACGCTAGATACACCACACCAAACGAGTTAATTTCAAGTGTAGACTAAACAGTTTATGTCGGCACCACTTGAAACAAAGATATAAGCATGACGTATAATTGGTTTTGCTAACTAGCTTGGATAACCTGGAATATATAAGGGACAATTGGAAATGGAATCCCAGTGTGTAAAACAAAAATTACAAACTTGAATGCGTCCACGGTCTACAACTCCTGTGATTGCCTGCTCTCGTCACAGATCAACAGTTTTTTTTTTCTTTAAAAAAACATACAACTTTGTTGGCCTTGTGTGTAGCACCAAATATCATGCTATGCTTAGGGTGGTTACCATGCGCGAATGTCTCTGCAGAAACAGAAACAAACGATTCACTGTTCGATCGATAAGCGATCACGATCGACAACAGCATGCGTGTTTAAAACTATACGTAAACATGTGTTAATAGAGCCTCGCAATTTTGTTGTTGATCGTTGCTGAAATTATCATCTGACTATTAAACGAATAATTCGATATTTCCGTGTTTAATATGTACACAGTTGGGTCAGGGAATAAATAAATCTTATGTAATGAAACCAACATTTCTTTCAGAACATGTACAAAGCAGTTGAACATCGATACAAATTAAATATTATAATTATTTGTGAAATAATAATTAAATTTAATATATACATATATAGAGAGAGTTGACTTTTAATTGATAAGTTCATTTACCTGATGATGGTCTGTCTGAATATCTCGTGCAATACACCCATGCAGGCCACAGTATGTCCCGTTTTTTGCCGTTTTTACTATTTTCATCCTCGCCGGATTCACTTGTCGTGTCGTCGCTCTCACGTTTCTGTTTCTCGTATGTCACAGTACGTTTGTTGTTTGCGTTCTGTTTGTTTTCACCAGACTGTTGTCTGTCTTGGTTACTAGGTTCATGAGTTTGTGAACTTCTGTTTTTCCTTCCAAAGTCGGGTCGCAGAATGGTGGCGATAGAAAAATCTGTATGTTGTTGGGCTTGTTCTTCTTCCACCTGCTCTGCGTCCATTTGTTGCTCAACGTTTCTCGAATTGTCGTCATGTTCATCCACTTTTTTCTCTTCATTTCGGTCACTTTCCATCGTCTCCTCCTCTCCTGAGTCAACCGACACCAGGTAGTCACTTTCCTCCTGGTGGGTGTCTATATCGATATTTGGCGAGGCGTTTTCGTCTTGCTGGTTAGAGTTTCGATCGCTGTGTTCCAGTTTCTCCGTCATTGTCAAGTTGGATTGGCCAGCACAGAGCGCGTTTCAGTGGTACCAATCGCCAATACAGAGTGAGCTGCCTATGTACCGCGCAACAAATGTACTAATAGAGTCTTGATCTTGGCATATAGATCAATGAGTGACTGGTCCGCAGTCGGAACTCTATGACGCCGGTTGGTGTCGTTGTCACAGGTTCTTTACCAGTTAAGATAGTCAGCTCCACTACGATTGGCACGTGTCTTCATCCAATCAAAAGAGGCGTTTAGCAACGGAATCAGGAGTCGCTGCAGGGTGGCTATAAAAACAAACCGCTGATCAGCTACAATAACCGAGCGTATTTGTTGCCGTCTTAGTAGAGTAATACTTGGCGTTGTGTAATGCAATGTTCAAGTGAAGACGGATCGCAGACAACAAGTGATGCAGCTAACCGTAACAGAAATCCATATCTACCCACAAGTGACCTCGGATGACGTCACCGGGGTACATAAACGTCACTAGTTAGTGTGTAGCCAATCATAAATAATTAGTTTTGCATAATTAACTTTGTCCCACTGATTTGGTGCTCAACATAGCCGACACTCTTTGTTACTTTGAGTACATTATCGCCCATCAATTCCCACTGAAGCAGCTAAGACGTCCCCGTTCACGCCAACAGTTTATAATTATTATTCGTATTATGTTTGTTGGTTGGTTTGTTGTTAATTTAAGTTGCATTGCTGTTTGCCTGTTTTGGGAATGCTGAAACGGCGTTTAATTGAATTGCATAGAATAACATGCCGGCTTCTGGCTGCCATCAATGCTCTATTATTCCACGTTTAATAGTAACCTGGTCAGATCTTTTAAACCTCACCGTCTAAACAATGAACTGTAGCGACTTGTTGAAGCGAAAAAAACGGACTCTTTGTCAGTGCACGATATCCGCAGTTAGACTTTATCTTGGGTCACGCCGGACAACAGTTGAAACAGAGAGTGTACGGTTAATAGGTGGCGAGTCATCCAGGGTGCACATCGCACCGAGTTAGTTGTATTCAGCTGCGAACGCTGATGCGAAAGGTGTGGCGGAGTAATACGAGAGTATTAACAAAATCGCCGTAAACAGAACTCAAAACGTTTGAATATTGAACAAATATCATCATCCAATGAACAAGTAAAAACTGGAGTGCGTCTGAACTAAAAAAAACCAAAAACATTTCCGCCCGTCGATGATTGATTTTTATGGAAGCGAATAATATCATCACGGGTATCCTGATTCTATTCCATTCACGTAAGCTATAGTATACGCAATACAACGTGACTACATGCAATAGAGTAACTGGGAGGGGCTTGTTGTATGCTTCATTCACGTGTATAAATATTGGACTCAATCAACGTATGTGTGAGATTATGCAAAACAAAATTCAAAGCCGAAAACACCCCGGAAAGTTGTTTCATGTTTGTTGTATTTTCTCTCAATTCCCCCTATCATAAAAATGGAATGGCAGTGTTGTTTTGACTCGGGCGTATCCGGGTCACTTATAGAGCGGCAAATGGTAACATTTCCGTGACCTGAAATACCAAATGTCAATTTTGAAACATTTTCACGATGTACAATACCAA